GGATGCATTCCTAGAGATGTATAAACTACCAAAACTGAACCAGGAAGAAATAGAAAACCTGAACAGACCCATAACCACTAAGGAAATTGAAGCAGTAATCAAAAATCTCCCAACAAACAAGAGCCCAGAGCCAGATGGCTTCCCAGGGGAATTCTACCAAACATTTATTTTTTAAAGAAGAATTAATACCTATTCTTCTGAAACTGTTCCAAAAAATAGAAATGGAAGGGAAACTTCCAAACTCATTTGAGGCCAGCATTACCTTGATCCCAAAACCAGACAAAAACCTCATCAAAAAGGAGAACTACAGACCAATATCCTTGATGAACATGGATGCAAAAATTCTCATCAAAATAATAGCCAATAGGATCCAACGGTACATTAAAAGGATTATTCACCACGACCAAGTGGGGTTTATTCCTGGGCTGCAAGGTTGGTTCAACATCCACAAATCAATGTGATACAGTACATTAATAAAAGAAAGAACAAGAACCATATGATCCTCTCAATAGATGGAGAAAAAGCATTTGACAAAGTACAGCATCCTTTCTTGATTAAAACTCTTCAGTGTGTAGGGATAGAGGGTATATACCTCAATATCGTAAAAGCCATCTATGGAAAACCCACAGTGAATATCATACTCAATGGGGAAAAACTGAGAGCTTTGCCCCTAAGGTCAGGAACACGGCAGGGACGTCCACTATCACCACTGCTATTCAACATAGTACTAGAAGTCCTAGCCACAGCAATCAGACAACAAAAAGAAATAAAAGGCATCCAAATCGGCAAAGAAGAAGTCAAAAACTCTCACTCTCTGCAGATGATATGATACTTTATGTGGAAAACCCAAAAGACTACACCCCAAAACTGCTAGAACTCATACAGGGATTCAGTATAGTGGCAGGATATAAAATCAATGCACAGAATCAGTCGTATTTCTATACACCAACAAGACAGAAGAAAGAGAAATTAAGGAGTCGATCCCATTTACAATTGCACCCAAAACCATAAGATACCTAGGAATAAATCTAACCAAAGAGGCAAAGAATCTGCACTCAGAAAACTCTAGAATACTCATGAAAGAAATTGCGGAAGACACAAAGAAATGGAAAAACATTCCATGCTCATGGATTGGAAGAACAAATACTGTGAAAATGTCTATGCTACCTAGAGCAATCTACACATTTAATGCATTCCTATCAAAATACCACCCACTTTTTTCAAAGAAATGGCACAAATAATCCTAAAATTTGTATGGAACCAGAAAAGACCCCGAATAGTCAGAGGAATGTGAAAAAGAAAAGCAAGCTGGTGGCATCACAATTCCGGACTTCAAGCTCTATTACAAAGCTGTAACCATCAAGACGGTACAGTACTGGCACAAAAATAGACACAAAGATCAACGGAACAGAATAGAGAGCCCAGAAATGGACCCTTAACTCTATGGTCAACTAATCTTAAACAAAGCAGGAAAGAATGTCCAATGGAAAAAAGACAGTCTCTTCAACAAATGGTGTTGGGAAAATTGGACAGCCACACGCAGAAGAATGAAACTGGACCATTTCCTTACACCACACACAAAAATAGACTCCAAATGGATGAAAGATCTAAATGTGAGACAGGAATCCATCAAAATCCTTGAGGAGAACACAGGCAGCAATCTCTTCGACCTCAGCCACAGCAACTTCTTCCTAGAAACATCGCCAAAGGCAAGGGAAGCAAGGGCAAAAATGAACTATTCGGACTTCATCAAGATAAAAAGTTTTTGCACAGGAAACAGTCAAAAAACCCAAAAGACAACTGACAGAACGGGAGAAGATATTTGCAAATGACATATCAGATAAAGGGCTAGTATCCAAAGTCTATAAAGAACTTATCAAACTCAACACCCAAAGAACAAATAATCCAATCAAGAAATGGGCAGGGGCGCCTGGGTGGCTCAGTTGGTTAAGCGACTGCCTTCCGCTCGGGTCATGATCTCAGGGTCCTGGGATCGAGCCCCGCATCGGGCTCCCTGCTCGGCGGGAAGCCTGCTTCTCCCTCTGACCCTCCCCCTGCTTGTGTTCCCTCTCTTGCTGTCTCTCTCTCTGTCAATTAAATAAATAAATAAAATCTTTAAAAAAAAAAAAAGAAATGGGCAGAAGACATGAACAGACATTTCTGCAAAGAAGATATCCAAATGGCCAACAGACACATGAAAAAGTGCTCAACATCCCTCGGCATCAGGGAAATACAAATCAAAACCTCAATGTGATACCACCTCACACCAGTCAGAATGGCTAAAATTAACAAGTCAGGAAATGACAAATGTTGGCGAGGACGCGGAGAAAGGGGAACCCTCCTACACTGTTAGTTGGGAATGCAAGCTGATGCAGCCACTCTGGAAAACAGTATAGAGGTTCCTCAAAAAGTTGAAAATAGAGCTACCCTACGACCCAGCAATTGCACTACTGGGGAGGGTATGTGCTATGGTGAGCGCTATGAATTGTGTAAGACTGATGAATCACAGACCTGTACCCCTGAAACAAATGTTAATAAAAAAATAAACAAGAAACATACAAGCATATTTGACTTAAAAAAAAAAAAAGAATATATGATAAAGAAGTCAGCACAGTATACTGATGTCCAAGGCCTAACACCAAATCCCATGGGGAGCCTCACTGCCTTGTTCTTCCATCCCATGTTCATAGGGTGGCTTCCCTGTTCTTGTGGCCGTGGGTCCCTAGAGAGTGAGCAATGGTGGAAACTTACTGGAATTAAGATTAAGAATGACTATATAGTTCAACTCTACAGAATTCTGAAATTTTAGTAAGAGTACCTTACGTCAAAAATCTGTTTCACAAATTAAACTGAGTTTTGAAACTCCCAGAATAGCTGCAGATGAGAGTCACTTCAGTGAATCTTTGAGGGTTAGTAAAAGGAGTCATATGACTAGAATTTAAGAGTTCTAAGAATTATACGTATTTATTTAAAACCACTTTATTGAGGTATGACTGACATACAAAAAACTGTATATATTTAATGTATCCAACTTGATGAGTTTGGAGATGAGTATACAACCTGTGACACCGTTAAAGATATTATAAAGGTCACCCAGGCTAATCCTCAATTTTGCTGATGATGCTGGTCACCCAGACAGGTAACAAAACAAGCTAGAACTAGAACCTAGGTTTCCTGACTCTTATTTCAATGATTTGTTCTATTTCACAACAATTCACCAACTTAATCGAAAAAAAGCTACAGCACCATCAGAACACTTGTAACTTTGGGTGACCCAGAAATATTCCTGTTGGTCTACCCTCCCCTCCTCAGTCTACTTTCCCATCAGTGGCCCCAAAGCACCTCAGGGTGAAAACTACTCTACTCTGCTGGCTGCCCTTCTAAGCTCCTGATTCCAAGCAGGGTGCCACCTAGATGCCTATGTTGTAAACAGTTGCGCATGAAGGCTACACACCAGAAGAATCCACTCCTCACTGGTTTCAGGGTGTTGAACATTTTGTGCCCAATAGACCCATAATACAAATGGCAGGTCTATTACTTGAGAAAACCACAACGCAGAGTCCAACACGTTGGGTCTCTTTCTTCAGGTTTAACTGCTAACTCAACATTATTCATCTTCCTGCAACAAGGAACCTGGGAAGCATTTGCAGGGATGTCCTACTGGTAATGGAAGTCTGATGCCAAGAGTATTTGGGAGAGACACCTCTTTAAAGGATGGACTAAAGCGGACCCCAAGTGACCTCAGGCTGTTCCCCAGCAAAAAGGCACCAATCTCTGTTTTAAAATTGCAGATTTTATAATTCCCTCCAGGGACAGTGTGGACCGCCTCTGAGGCCACTGGCACCTGGGGCACACCTCCACAGGTATGTTAGTAGCAGATTACCATCACAGGAAGAGTCTAGAAACATGAAGTCACATATTATGGTTAATGAACCAGCAGAAGGACTAGCAGAGCACCAGCACTCTTCTTTGTTGAATCCGGTACTTTCTAACCTTTGTATTTAATTTAATCAATGTCTTGCAGAGATGTGTATATTTCCTTCAAAGATAATCTTTACACTGTCCCTTAGCAACCAAATCTCAATGTCAAACCACTACCCCCATCAATTCAGTTCAGCAAATTAATATTGACAATCATATGTGGAAAGCAATATGTCCAGGAAAGTTCCTGTCCTGAAATCTAATCTAACTCTTCCATAACGCATCTTGCCAATTTCTTCTTAAACACTTGATAAAAGGTGAGAGTACAGAGTGAGAAGAGTGGGAGCCACAAGAGAGCTGCAGCGGATATCAGCATCTAATGGGCGGGCAGGGCAAGGGCAAATCTCCAAGGTGTAAGTTCACAGACAGGGTCTTATGGACTGAATGTCTTTATTCTCCAAACTCTTATTTTGAAGCCTTAGCCCCATTGTGTTGGTAACTGGAGGCGGGGCCTTTGGGACATTATTAGGTTTGGATGAAAAAATGAGGATGGGGCCCTATGATGGGATTAGTGTCCTTATTAGAAAAAAAGTGACCAGAGCTCCCTTTCTCTCCCCGGTGTGAGGACACCGTGAGAAGGGGGCCGTCTGGAAGCCAGCCAGAGGGTCCTCACCAGGGACCAACTGGCTGCCACCTTGATTCTGGCCTTTCCAGCCCCCACAACTAGGAGAAAGAAGTGTCTGTTGTTTAAGCCACCCAGTCTAGAGGGATTTTGGTATAGGAGCCCGAGCTGACTAAGACACTGGGGAATGGCCAGACAGGGAGGAGAAACTCTGGGTGAGTGTGTGTCAGTCTGTCCTGTGGGGTAAAAGACTGAACAGCGAGCGAGAGCTCAACACTCCCAAAGGTCGCAGAGATTCAGCAGGCTAAGGAGAAACAGTGCACTAAGGACATCAGCGGCAACCCCTGGCAGGAAGTGATTCATTGCCAGGTAGACGATGAGCCCAGTTCTTTCTGTTTCCATTGGCCAGTGGTTCTCAAGCCCAGTGGCAGGACAGAATCACCTAGGAGCCTGGAAAAATACTAATGCTTGGCCCTCAACTGCAGAGATTCCAAGTTAACTGGTCTAGAGTGTGGCCTGGGTATTGATGCATTTTTTAAAAAGCTCCCAAAGTGATTCTAATGTGTAGTCAGGGTTGAGAACTATTGCAACTTCAGTTGAATTGTTAAAAAGGAAAAAAAAAAAGAAGTATTATTTGCGTTCTGGGGGAGCAGATTCGAAACATTAACTATGCAGCAGCCACTGAGGTGCCAAGCGCTGCCATGGATTAGCTCATTTCATCCTCGCGGCAACACTGCAAGGCAGGTACGACAGTAACCCTGTTATAAAACAGGTGTGGAGAAAACTGGCAGAGAGGTGAATTTACTGAAGTCACAGGGTTAGGAAGTGCCCGAGTTGGATAAAAACCCACTTCCGTGTAATAAAAACTCAATGAACCAAACACCACTTGCCATGTAAGAAACAGGGGTATATTTCCGATTGAGTGAGTCCACTTCCTCCAAGACGCGATTGTATACAGACATCATTCTCCGCTCATATTCACTGTCTGCGTGGGCAGCTCCAGTAGATCCAGATTCCTGGAAACTGAGGTCAAATCAGTATCAATTAATCACCCAAAATAGTCACCATCTTAATGTCTAAATGTGTCAGGCACTTTCTACATGTTCTCATTTATTTTGTAAAATAACAAAGTAAGCACTGCTGTTTCCATTTTACAGATGAGCCAACTGAGGCTTGGAGAGGTTAAGTGACTTGCCTTCAGTCACATAACTAATAAGTAACAAGCCCTAAATTTAAACCCAGATCTGACTTCAAATTATGTAAGGCTAATCACTTTGGTTGTTAGGTAGTAGAAAAATGTTTAACTGTTGCCTCTGCCATGAGGTGGAGACCCAAGTCATTTGAAAAGGTAACCAGCAGTATAAAGCCAGCAGGTTAAGTGCCACAAAACCAGTGAAGATATATAAGTAAAAGATCAGAATGTGGAGGGAGTGGGGAATGCCACGGAAGAGATGAGTCCTGAACAAACCACTGGGCAAGCAGGATGGACAAGATGTGGAGAGACGGAAGTGTGGTGGGCATTCAGGGCTGCAGAGATGGCATGAATCTAAAGCATGGACAGGGAAGGTGTGGGAATGTTCGGGGGAGAGCTAGCACACAGAGCATGCTGGGAAACTTTTACTTAGATTTCCTCTTTCTTCCTCTACTGCCTCACAACCAAAAAGTATTTCTTCAAAGTATCTCTAAGTGAGAAAAGAAAGCAAATCTTTTGTATTCTAACTAACCTTCAACAGGATTACCTGAAAATGCAATATAGGTAATTTAGCCACACTGGGCATAAGACTGTTCTTCTTCTTCCCTTATTACCCTTTTAATACCTACTGTGTGTGTTAAAAGGCACCACTAAGGCACTTCACTTAGGTACTTTATAGGGTTATTCCCTTTAACCATTACAGCCACTCTAGGAGACAGGCATCATTATTTACCTGTAGTTCATGCATATGTGGCTCAGGGAGATGAAATTCCATGCACATATTTCTACAGCTAGGAGTGAATTTTAAAGGATTCATCATGTTCATATCTGCCTGGCTCCAAAGCTTTGTTCCCTGCTCTATACTATATTCCCTGCTCCGTACTGTACCTTAAGTTCCAATAAGCCAAGAACTGAACCTCATTTGTATGACTCTTAAGGAAAACTCTACACACAAATAAAGCATAAAGAAATTAAAGTCTTTTATATCTTCTACTAAGAGGGTCTAAATTCAGAATACACTGCCCTACCTACAAAAGCATTCATTTACTTAAAAAATATACTTCATTGAGATATAAGTTACAAAAGCACAGAAATACACCTATTCAAAATACCCCTTTCTATTCAATTCCCACTTGTGACCCAAGGCGAACACTGGTGTGCTTTCAATCACTATAAATGGGATGTTTCCTGTTATTTCATATAAAGAGAGTCCTAAAATATGTACTATTTTGTGTCTGGTTTCCTTCATAGCATGTTTTTGAGAGTCATTCATGTACTTTGCATATATCAATAGGTCATTCATCTTTACTGCTGAGTAGTATTCCATTGTATGGATGTATGAGTTTAGCCATTCGCCTGTTCAGTGGCATTTGGATCTTTAGTTTTTGTTATTACAAACAAAGCTGCAATGAAATTTTACATACAAGTCTGTGTGGAAATATGTTTTCATTTCTTATGGGTAAGTAAGTAGGAGTAGAACTGGTCATATGGTAACTGCCAACAAGTTTCCCAAAGTGGCTGAACTGAATCATTTTGTATTCCCAAAATGGTAGGAATTCAAGCTCCTTCATATCCTAATCCTGGATATTGAAGGTCTTTTTAATTTTAGCCATTTTAGTGGGTGTTAGTAGATATCTCATTGCGATTTTAATTTGCATTTCTCTGATGCCTAATGATGTTAAGCACTTTTTGCTTATTAGACATTAGCACACCTCCTTTTTTGAAACATCTATTCAAATCTGTCAATTTGTAAAAACTGTATTATCTTGAGTTGTATGTTCTTAATATCCTCAATTCAAAACCTCTGATAGAATCTCCCTGTGCCCTGTCTTTTCATTTTCTTAATGGCATCTTCCATACAGCAGAAATTTAAAACTTTAAGTTCAATTTAGCAAATTCTTCTCTTATGGTAACTGCTATCTGTATTCTAAGAAATCTCTGCTGACCTCCAGGTCATGAAGACTTTCTCCAATGTAGTCTTCTAGAAAGTTTAGAGTTTTATCTTTTACATTTTGGTCTATGATATATTCGGAATTAATTTTTCTGTATGGTGTGAAGCAAGGTCAAAATTTTTTTTTTCCCTCCCTATATAGATAACTAGCTATCCTAGCACCACTCATTGAAAAAACTATCCTTTCCCTATTTTTTTTAAATAATTTTTTTTTTTAAGATTTTATTTATTTATTTGAGAGAGAGAGAGCACAGATGGAGGCAGAGGGAGAAGCAGACTCCCTGCCGAGCAGGGAGCCCGATGCGGGACTCGATCCTGGGACTCCAGGACCACGACCTGAGCCGAAGGCAGTCACTTAACCAACTGAGCCACCCAGGCGCCCTCCCTATTGAATTATCTTGGCACCTTTGTCAAAAATCAAATGATCACATATGTGAGTGGTCTCTCCATATTCTGGGCTCTCCATTCTACCATCAAGCCAATACTGCATTATCTGAATCACTATAGCTTTATAGTAAGACTTGAAATGTTTAAGTCCTCTACTTTAGCTTTTCTCCTTTATTCTGCAATATGGCAAATTACACCATTTGATCTTCTACTGTTAACCTGGTATTTCTGGGATAAAACCTACCTGGTCTTGATGTATTATCTTTTGTATATTGCTGGATTCCATTTCTACATGTTTTGTTAAAATGATTTTTATACCTGTGTTCATGAAGATCTGTTGTTATTCCCTTATTATGGCTTTTAATAGCTATAGGATTTGGATTGGTACTCTTACTTGATTTCTGATATTGGTAATTTGTATTCCTTTACTGCTCAGACTAGCTAGTATTAACAGTTTTATTGATCTTTTCAAAGAACCAGCTTTGGGTTTCACTGATTTTCTCAACTATTTATTTCTAATTCACTGATTAGTGCTTATATTTTTGTTATTTCTTTCCTTTAAATTATTTTGAGTTTAATTTGCTTTCTTTTTCTAGCTTCAGATAAGGCAGAAATTTAGATTAACTGATTTTAAACTTTTTTATATTATATAAAAACATCTAGAGCTATCAATTTCCCTCTAAGCTCTGCTTTAGCTACAACCCACAAGTTTTGATAGGTGGTTTTCTCATTTTCATTGTTTAACATATTTTCTAATTTCCCTTCTGATTTCTTGACCAACTGGGTTATTCAGAAGTCTTATTTAATTTCTAAATATGTGGGGATTTTCTAGAGATCATTTTTGTTAGTGCATTCTAATTTGTCAGATAACATATTCTATATGATTTCAATGCTTCAAAATTTGAGATTTGCTTTCTAGCCTAGCATATGGTTTATCTCATTAAATGTTCCAAACGCACTTGAAAAGAACATGTATGCTGCTGTTGGTATATACAGGTCAATCAGATCAAAATGATTGGTGGTGTTGTTAAAGTTTTCTATATCCTAAGAAATTTTCCAACAAGTTGTTCCATCAATTACTCAGAGGGAAGTGTTGAGAACTTTGTAACTGTGGATTTATTTCTCTTTCAGTTCTGCTTTTTTTTCCTTCGGTTTTTGCTTGATATATTTGGAAGATCTGTTACTTTGTACATAAATACTTAGAATTATGTCTTCTTGACCCCTCTGGTGTTTCTTCTGAATGCTCTCAGTGTTCAATAAGGTCTCTCCATTTGGCTAGTTGGAACTCAAACATTTCTCAGACATGTGTGAGCTCTGGGAATTGTTCAGCTTATAGCTTCCTGGTAATTACTCTTTCCCTTGTAGTTTTTTGCCTGGCCTTGTGGAGTTTCATTTTACGTATGTGTAGCTTAGCATTCAGCCAAAGATTCACAGCCGGTGAAATTTCTGGAGCTCTTTCCCTGGAAAGCTTCTTCCTCTCTCTTGTATTCTGTCCTGCAAATTCTAGCTTCTTCTGGTTCCTTGAACTCTGATCCCTATCTCTTCCCCATGTTCTGCTTTGGTTACTCCTCTCTGAGAGGCAGTCTAAAAAGTCCCTTCAGGGAGAGGAAAGTAAAGACTATTGTAGTGTTTACCTTATTTATGTCCCTCCTCTGAGGGATTACATTTCTGAGTTTCCTACTGCCCAGCATGTGGAAACAGTTAATTTACATGTTTTAGCTGTTTGTAATAAAAGGAAAAGTCCACTCTTAGTTACTCTGTCACCAGCGGAAACTATTCCCTTATCGTTTAGGCAGTAAAATAAAGATTAAGTGCAAAGGAATCATGACAGAGCAAATAAAAAGCTAGAGTAGAAAAATGCAATGGACAACCATCTCAAAATATTTCTTCTTGATAATTCTAAAAAGTTGGGATGAGGCAGACAATCACATTCATAATTAGAGACATTTACCCTGTCCTAATCCATATTTATTGTTACTGGCTCAGGCACTATGTTAGGTGCCAGAGATAATAAGACAAGGTCTCTTCTCCCCAAAAAGCTCCTAGGCTACGAAAAAGATAGACACATTAGTGAAATACTAACATTATGCCTCACTCTTGAGGTTTTTTAGCTGCTGGTCTTTCTTTATTTGGAAGGTACAGAATATAAAATCAAGAACAGAAGTTTTAGAAGGAATCCACTCTTTGCAGCTGTATATTATTGAGAATGAAACCCAAAGAACCCTCCTTCAAGGTGCAAACTTTCTTTTCCAATTTTTCCCTGCTATGAAGGGCAGAGGCTAGGGGAATAGGTTTGGAGGATGAGAGGGGAAGGAGAGGAGTGAAAAAAAGTGGTAGGAAGGGCAGAGAGTAGAGAGTAGCATGTGTGAGCTGGCTGGATAACTCCCTTCACCCCCTCCCTGCTGACAATGCACCCAATCTGTTAAAAAGTCAATCAAGAAAAACACTTATACTTATTGTGCCAATCAACAGTACAGTGATATCTGGGTGCTAAGAAGTAAAATGAGTATGGCACAATAAGAAATGGTGTGATCCTCGAAGCATCAATTGGCAAAGACTCTATAAAGTACATGGAGGTTTAAGAACATTTTGAAACTTAAAAGGAAGGATATTTTTTTTTTAAATAAGCCCTGCAAGTCGGAAGAGAAAATGAACACTGATGAAAACAGGATAAAAGGAAAAATAAGCGAATATTATATTAAAATGGATCGGATGAGTGGGGACAAAGATAGCCAAGTGGCCTAGTCTGAAAGTAGGCAGAACTTTAAAACATAAGCAAGGATCTTGCTATTGTCCTGAAAAGTAATGGTGAGTCACTATTTTAGGGTAGAGAAATTTCACTCTGTCTGTTAATACTCTCTTTGAGAAAGCTGACCCTGGAATCACAGGCCTTATTAATTGGAAATTATAGACAGTTGAAAATGCACATTCCAAAACAGAATACCGTAACGGGAAAAAAAAACAGTGGATCATTCTTTAATAGAATATTTTGAATAGTTAATGGGAGAGGAGAAAAGAATATTAATAAAGCAAAAATAGGAATATCTTTTTGTTTAAGAAACCAAAGAATAAAAAATTCAAGCTTAATTATTAACTCAATTTTTCATATCAAATTTTAGGTATAGTATACAAGAAGAAAATATTCAAATTCAACGAATTTCTTCCCAATTATTTTTCCAAGTCAATGTTTTAAAAATAGGAGGCAGTGGGGCACCTGGGAGGCTCAGTCAGTTAAGCGTCCTACTCTTGACTTCAGCTCAGGTCATGATCTCGGGGTCCTGAGATCAAGCCCCGCCTCAGCTCCGCACTTGGCGGGGAGTCTGCTTGAGATTCTCTCTCTCCCTCTCCCCTCTAAAACAAGTAAATAAGGCTTTTAAAAAAAAATAGGCAGAAGTAAATAAACAATGGGAGTCAGAAGAAGCAAGTTTTGTCACTAGGTGTGTGACCTCAGGCAAATACTAACGAAGTCCTTCTTCTCTGTTTGTTCTTCCATAATACCTCTTCCAAAACACATGTAACACCTCTTCCAAAACACATGTTGTAATGATTAGGTAAGATAACACTGGAAAATGTACCTTAATGTAAACTATTATTAGAAATACCTTGCTGATTCTGGATCCAAAATCAGGGCTTCTATTGCATGAGATATCAGTAAACAGCTCTGCTGCTGTCTGGATTAATGTTAAGGTTTTACATGAAAATAGAGAAATCCATGTAGACTTTATATTACCTGAATATCAAGTCAAGATGAGGATTATATTTTTAGTTAAGGTAACCATATGTTATCAAATTAAGTGGTTTGAGACTTCATTTTTTTTTTCCCCTTTTAAGGGATATATGTTGTTTATAATAGTGATTCTTAAATTCTCCTCCAGGAAGAGTACTTCAGAGGCTGCCTAATGTGGGAAGGGGGAACCAAGCAGCATGCTCTGTGATTCAATCACAGAAACTGTTCTCTTCTGCTTAGAAGTAGGAGTTTCGGTGATAAAAGTTAAAAGCAACACCAAAAATGGTCTGTAGTTACTCCAGAGGTTCTGAAGCTGGGGCTCAAGGGATCTGGTAACCCTCCTGGGACTACGAAAATCTGCCAGGATGTGTGCATAAATGCATTTTGTAGAGGAAAGGGTCCATAGCATTCACAGGTTTTTACTTAGAAAACCAAAATGCTAAGCACTACTGATTTATAGGTCCCACAACTTAAAAACAATATATCTCTTCCTTCCTTTCAAAAAGCATTTGAGGCTGCTAATTAAATATGGAGAACTCAAAGAGGACTTAGGGAACCAAAGTGATGACTAAAACTACAGATCACTAATAAAGGTGATGGGAATCAGGGTTTTCACCATGAAGAAGACAGAGGTAACAAAAGAGAAAATGGTTTTCTGATGGGAAAATGTGTTGCCTTCTCCACTGTAGCTCAAGTGCGCACAAAGTATGCAACACTGGTAGGACATGGGTTTTGGAGGCTCTTCCTAGTGGTGGAGAAAGACCACCACTGAGTCACTACTTTTTTTTTTTTAAAGCCTCGTTGAAGTTAAAAAGTAAAATTATACTGCTCACACTAGATTTCAAAAGAGAAGTTATTAATTATAATAAATTTGTAGGCCAATCTAAATATACGTATTTTTAGTTAAGCATATCTAAAGCATTTACTCTATGTTTAAAAGAATACTTCCAAAAAACAAGAAATACTGAAGCAGCTTAGGATACAGTTCCACATTCCTCAACGTTGCGGAATCAGCATCAAAAGATGCCTGATAAAGATCCCCATATCGGGAAGCAAGGCTTCGGAATTCTTCCATGGACTGTTTCATCTAAAAAGAAGGAGAAGTATCAATTACAAGGAATATGCTATCATTATTGTATAATGATATACCACAAAAACCAAAACATAAAAAAAACCTATCCTGAAACAATCAAATCCAAAAAGTAGTTCAACCCTTTTCATTTCCATTCCATTAATGCTTATAAACCTTGTTAAATAAAATGAACAAAGATGGTAAATGAAATTCTAAATGTTTACACAATTACAATAATAATACATATGACGCACGGAAACAAAAAGCATTGCTTTGTTAGCTTCAAGTTCCACTAAAACAATTAATACAGTTATGAATATGTAGAATCTAGTGAGACATCATCAGTCACTTTGTCATTCTAATAAAACATCAGCCTATTTTTGGCAAGACAGATGAGTTAAGCATTTGATGGTTAATGTCCATTAGTCAAACAGCTGATTTTTAAATTTCAGAATTTTTCATCTCACGACTAACCTCAAAAACCTCTAAAGTGTAAATAAAAACTGCACTGAAAATCAAGTGAAGACACACCTGATTGGAGATGCGACCACACCTCTGAAGGTCATTCCCTAAGGTCATGGCAATTGTTGTGGCAATTGCAGGTGGGGGGCTTGTCTTGAGGCTATTACAAGTACAGATAAGTTGAGAGAAGGCTTGTAGAAGGTCAATCCTGAGTTTTACAAATTCACACTGAAAACTTAAAGGATTCAGTGGTGTACTGGCAGCCTGGGGGTAAAAAAAGATACATGTAAGACAAAAGTAAATATAATAGCCAGATGGTGCCACACAAAGTATTTGTCACCGTCTGTGCAAAAGAACAGTAGTTCTAACATTGATGGATAAACACTTACGTTATAAGAGGAACGATGTGGTATTAGAAAGAAAAACTGACTAGCATCAGCTGTGAAAAACTGTACGTTCCATCAACATTCAGTTTCCTTACTCCCTACATTCATGAAGACCCCAGCACATGGGGGTTGGCTAGATTATCACCAGTAAAATATCATTTGAGGGACACTTCAAGGACATGATCATTCTTCTAAAACCCCCCTCATCATCACTTTGCCACCTTTCTAACATGAAATTTTCATCACTGGAATCATTGGCAGGATTTTCAAAAGTTGGGAGGGGGGAGGAAAGAAAGATAAGGACAGGAGAACTATGGTGCTCGACAGTCACTGTTAAAAAAGCATATTGCCTCATGGCTGTATTTTTCCACTGTGAGCCCAGATTAATTTATTTCTGAGCAGACACGTTAGAACGCACGGAGAGGCTACCAAGGAAGAACAGGTTATAACACACAAATAAGTTTCAATGGGGAAGAGAGGCATCAGGGCTGAGTCTTGGATGGCGAAGAGCAGCAGTAGCTAGGTAGATGGGGCAAGGAATTTAAGTCAAGCCAGTGTGGGCAGAGAACTAGGACCACCGTTAACTATTCAATAACTACTCTGGCAGAGAACCTAGCATGGTGCTTTCAACAAAAGGCATACCAAAAATTTGCTAAACTAACAATAAATGGAAGCACAGTGAAAATAATTTCCTCTGACATGACTAGCTTAAAACATGCTGATGCCCTTTGTTCCTTAGATACTACTTCCATTCTAACCAGAGAGCAAGGCATTTGACTTTGCGTTTCTAGAAGTCAGTTACCATAGTACCATTTGGCCAAGTATCACATATTGACCTTAGCGTACTTCTCTCTACTTTTAAGTGTCAAATGGTTAAGTTCTGTTATTTGGTAGCATTCATATTTTACTCTATGAAATAATTAGCCACTCCCTATATCTTTTATAAAGAACATACATCTGCTCTTGTATTCTTCTCAAATGGCATGACCCTTGATATATATAAGCTACATATAAAGAGAACTATATAAGCTAGAGGTAGTAACTGTACTCAATATATTGAATTCTGTGGTTTTCACACTTTTAGGATGCCTGTTCTAATCATGAAACAGCACAGACTAGGAGATTAAAGAGAACATTTTAATTGCTTTTAATTCCTTAGAGATTTAATTTGCTCTTATAAGAGAGATTCCCCCCTCCTCTGCCCCCTAAGCTGCTACCTGCTATTTTTAATTTACTGCTTGTCAGTAACTCTTGTCAGGGATACAAGTAGGTGTATATGATACTGTTCTATAAATACAGTACAGATCATCTGACCAGACAAAAACCCTGGCCATCTTGTCCTAACATGCATTACAAAACTGAAAGAGAAGTAAGATGTAGTTATAATGAGGAAGATATACTGCAACTCTGGATTTATTTTTGAGTATTTTATTGATGATAGAAGATGGAAACTCTGAAAGTGACTATGCATCTTGGACTGTGTTAATGCTGAAGGAAAGCAATGCTAGATATAGTACACATGTTCAAAAGAACATGGAAAAGATAGATTTGTCATAGAGACCAAAGACTTTAAAAGGTAGTATCATCTGTAAAAGAAAATGTAAAAGAAATAAAATTTAGATTATAACAGTATGAATAATGCCAATGAGAAATAAAAAGGATATTATTTTCTTTTCTTTGTATTGAAGCTAAAGCTTAAACATAGGTTGGGAATCTAATGTTAGCATGTAAAGTAAAAATTGTATGTAATCAATATTACCCTTGAAACTTCCTCAGGAAGGAATTATTTTCAATGAATTCAACACAGGCAGGTGAAGGAACAACAAACTCGGAGCTTTCCCTAATGCTCACTCTGGGGTATCAGCTAATTGAGAAGAACTATTCCCACTATTTGGATTGCTATTTTGCTTCCCCATTATTTAAATGACTATTTTTCTCCTTCCTTCCATTTTTTCTCGTTCCTTCTATCTTTTCCCCTAAACATATAAAGTTAAATCTTTTTTTCTAAAGATTTATTTATTTATTATTTGAGAGAGAGAGAGCACACATGTGTGTGCAAGCGGCGGGGCAGGGGGGCGGATAGAGAGAGGGAGGGAGAGAATCTCAAGTAGACTCTCACCAAGTACAGAGCCTGATGCAGGGCTTGATATGGGGCTCGATCTCATGACCTTGAGATCACGACCTGAGCTGAAATCAAGAGTTGGATGCTTAACCAACTGAGCCACCCAGGTGGCCCAAGGTTAAATCTTTATTAGACATGCATATAATGCTACTTCACTGAACTTCTGACTTGTAGTACATATCTAATTTTCTAAATGGAGCTACCTAAAGAAACCAATATGGCTAAAAAAAAAAATTTACCTGATGAGCTCAGTTAAAAAAAGTGTGTGTGTGTACATGTACACACACACACTCACACAATGGTAAAGAACATACAACCAAGAGTAAACCTAAACCATGGACTGGAAGTCCCTGGTAACCATCATTCTACTTTTGTCTCCATAAATTTGACTTCTTTAGATAGCTCATATAAGTGGAATCATATAGTAGTTGTCTTCTTGCAACTGGCTTATTTTAGTTAGTATAATCTCATATTTTGAAAGAATAAGCCAAGCATAAAGCAATCGTGGACTAGACTGTTTTAAACCAGCCCTCCTACTAACAACAGCTGTGAAAACTGAATACAATATTAAGAACATAATATATTTGAAAGCACTCAAGAGCTTACTAAGGCAAAAAGGATTTCGAAGCCAAAAATCATGGAGAAATGGGAAAGGCAAGGACGTAGGACTGACATTTGGTGACATTTTCTCCCTTGAGATGTTTGCTAACTTGAAAGCTGCTCCTGAGAGTCTGAGCAGAATTTTCAGCAGTCTCATAAGACCAGAAGGGGGCTGAGGAAAACACTTTAGGCTTTTGGCTGTAACCTCAAAGGGCTATGCCCTAGGAGTTAGGAGAGCCCAAAAATATACTGGCCCTCCCAAGGACTGAAGCCTAGCTTTTAATCAGTTCAGTCCTTGGTTGGATTAAGGCAATCTTAGCCTAACTGCCTGCCAAAGGCAAAAAAAGATATATAAGGCTCTGGATGATGTAATCACTGTAATTTTTCATCTACATTGTCCAAAACCAAATAAAAAATAAAGCATACAAAAAAGACAAAATCCTCCAAAGCAAGAGGGGGAAAAAAGTCAAAGATACAAACCACAACAGATCCAGAAAACAGAACATCAGATACAAATTTTTTAAAGTAACTATGATTAATATGTTAAAAGAAATTAAATGACAAGACAGAGAATCCTGGCAGAGAACTGGAAAATATAAAATAACCAAATGGAAATTCTAGAACTGAAAAAAAAACCCCACAATAAATGAAATTAAGAACTTAATGAATGGGTTTGACAGCAGATTAGACACAATGTAAGTTATTGAAGTGGGGGGTGGGTGCCTGGGTGGCTAGTCGGTTAAGTGTTTGACTCTTGGTTTTGGCTCAGGTCATGATCTCAGGGTCGTGAGATCGAGCCCCACATCGGGCTCTGCGCTCAGTGTAGAGTTTGCTTGAGATTCTCTCTCTCCCTCTGCCCCAACCCCCTTTCTCTCTAAAATAAATGAACAAATCTTAAAAAAAAAATTACTGAAGTGGAAGATAGGTCAGAAGAAAACATTTAGAGCTAAGAATAGATAAAAAGATGGAAGAGGAAGAAGAGAATGTAAGAGATAAAGGGACATGATAAAGAGTTATCATCATTCTCTCTGGAGTCCCAAATAAGCCAGAAAGGGACAGGAAGCAATAGCTAAAGAGACAATAACCCAATGTTCCAAAACTGATCAAAGTCATCAAGACATAAGATTCAAGAAGCACTATGAACCCCAAAAGGCATTCATAATGGTAAGAGTATAAACTGGAAACCACCACAGGCAACTTTTGGCAGTATTTATTAAAGCTGAACCTAAGTTATCTCGTGACACAGCACTACAATCCAGAAGAAATGCACACCTCTACCAAAAGATGTGCGTTAGAGTGTTCACAAATTACTCTTAATAGTCCCAACCTGGAAATAACCCAAATGTTCCCCAATGATAAAAATGGATAAACGATTGCTTTAACAGTCATTAAAAGAATATCACAGAGCAATGAAAATGAATGAACTACGGCAATATGCCAACGACGACAAAATGAATGACTCACAAACATAAAGCTGAGCAAAACAAGCTAGAATCACAAGAATACTGTATAATTCCCCAACTAATGCTAAAAAACAAGCCAAGACTAACCTATAGTTTTAGAAATCGAAATAGTGCTTACTTCTGGGGAAAACGGTGAAGGGAGTATGAACTGGGGAAAATTTTTTTAAAAAACAGAAACCATAAAGGAAGAAAGACCAATAACTTAGACCACTAAGTCTTAGACTACTAAGAATGGCTGTTCATCAAAAGATAGAAAATGGGGGAAAAAAGCTACAAAATTAGATGATATTTGCAACTCATATAACCTACAAAAAATTAGTATCCAGAACATATAAGGAACTCTTATAAATCAATAAGACAAACAACCTGCTAGGAAAATGAAAAAACTTCAACTGGAAGTCAACAGAAAAAAAAACAAAACACAAATGGCCAAAAATGAAACAAATAATTAATTGTTTCAAGAAAATGAAAAAGCAACTACTGAATGGGAGAAAATATTTGCAAGTCCTATATCTGATAAGGAGTTAATATCCAAAAAATATAAAGAACTCTTATTAACAGCAAAACAAAACAAACAACAATCTGATTATAAAATTAGCAGATTTGACTAGATTATTTTTCCAAAGAAGATATAAAGATGGCCAACAGGTATATGAAAAGATGCTCAACATCACTAATCAGGGAAATGCAAATCAAAACCACAAGATATCACTTCACACCTGTTAGAAAGGCCATCAGCAGGGAGCCTGCTTCTCCCTCTCCCCCCTGCCCCATTTGTGCTCTCTGTCAAAGAAATAAATAAATAAATGACAAAAAAAAAAAAAAGACAAAAACAAGTGTTGTCAAGGATGTGAAGAAAAGGGAACTCTGGTGCACTGTTGGTGGAAATGTAAACTGGTGCAGCCACTGTGGAGTATGGAGGTTCCTCAAAAAACGAAAAATACAACTACCATATGATCCAGCAATTCCACTTCTGGGTATTTATATGAAGAAAACACAAACATTGTCTCAAAAAGACGTATGCATCCCCATGTTCATTGCAGCATTATTCACAATAGATATGGAAACAACCTAAGTGTCCATCAACATATGAATGGATAAAGAAAATGTGGTATGTATATATAATGAAGTATTATTCAGCCATAAAAAAGTGAAAATTTGCCTTCTGCAACAACACAGATGGACTTGAGGATATTATGCTAAGTCAAGTAAGTCAGATAAAGACAAATTACGTATGATCTCACTTATATGTGGAATAAAAAACCAAAAAACAAACAAACAAAAAACACAAAAAACTTCAAGCTCATAGATAGAGAATAGATTTGTGGTTGCCAGAGGTGGTGGGTGGGTGAAATGGGTAAAGGGGGTCAAAAGTATAAACTTCCAGTTATAAAATAAATAAATCACAGGGATGTAATGTATAGTATCTGAGTATAGTTAATATTGTATTAAATGTCTGAAAGGTGCTAAGAGAGTGGATCTTAAAAGTCCTCAGGATAAAAAAGAAAACCTCAGCACAAAAAAGAAAACCTTTCCTAACTATGTATGGTGATGGATATTAACTAGACTTATTGTAGTGATCATCTCACAATATATACAAATATTGAATCATTGTGCTGTATACCTGAAACCAATATGTTGTATGTCAATTACATCTAATAAATAAATAAAATGTTTAATTGAATTAATAATTTGAGAAATGTCAATCAGAACGTCTAGAACATACCAAGTGAGGGGGAAAATGTAGAGCGACAGGAACTCTTATACACTGCTGGGAGGATTATAAATTTGTAAACCACAATAGAAAGCCTCCTGGTATTAGCTAGTCAACTGAAGGTGTACATAACCTTGTGATTCTACTCCCAGGTAGTATATTAGAGCAGTATCTCTTAACAGAGGCAGGAGTGTCCTAGGTATTTCAGGAGATTAAGCATCTTTAGCCACTGACCATTAAAGCCAGTAGTAGTACCCTGACCCTGTGACAAAAAGAGACATCCCCCCACACTTCCAAATTGGAGCAAGGGACAGATATGCAGCTTTGATTGAGGTCTACTGCCCTGGAGAAGGGTTTTCATTCTCAGTATACTAGTTACAGTTTGAACTGAGTAATTCTTTGTTGAGGGGAGTGGTCCTCTGCATTGCTGGATGTTTAGCAGCATCTCTGGCCTGTACCCACTAAACACCATGACAAATCATGATTATGAAAAATGTCTCTAGACATTGCCAAATGTCCTCTGGAAGGGCAAAATCATCCCCGATTGAGGACTGCTATCCTAGAAAAAGCTTTACATATGTGTATCAAAAGATATGTACAAGAATGTTCATAGCAGTACTGTTTTTAACAGCAAAAAACTGGGAAAGTTAAAATTTCCATCAACACTAAAATGGGCAAATAAATTGACATATATTCATATGATGGAAGAATATACAGCAGTAAAACTGACCTACAGCTTCATGCAAGATGAATGAATCTTAAGAACATAATTTAATCAGAGCAAGTTGAAGAAAAATATGATTCCTTTTTATATAAAATTCAAAAACAATATAAAATAGTACCTTGTTTAGAGTTCAAAAATGCACGTTAAAATTATAAAGAAAGGCAAGGGAATGGTATACAGAAGATTCAGGATGGTGATTACCTTTGTGGGGTAGGAAATGGTATACAAACATGGAGGAATATGCATGAATTTTAGAGGCAATGGTAATGCCCCATTTCCTAAATATACTAGGTATATTTGGATATTTGTTGTATTTTTTAAATATACCCTCTATACTATATATGGAGATATTCTACATATTTACTATTTTAAAATAAATAAAATGGGGCACCTGGGTGGCTCAGTCAGTTAATCTCAGGGTCCTGGGATTGAGCTCTGTGACAGATGCTGCGCTCAGTGGGGTCTGCTTGTCCCTCTCCGTCTGCGCCCGCCCCCGCCCCCAGCTCAGGCACACTTTCTTTCTCTCAAATAAATAAAATCCTTAAATAAATAAATAAATAAATAAATACATACATACATACAATTAACAATCCACCACTGTAGGCAAAATACTAAGATTGTTCCTCTGCTTCACACTCCGCGGTGTCCACATCTTCAGTAATCTGAGTGTGGAGGAAATCTGTAACTTGTTTCTAACCAATGGAATACAGCAAAGGTGAGGAATGTTGGGGATATAATTTAGATCCTTAATGAAGTGACTGTGTATCAATCAAAAGGGAGATTTTTCTGGGTGGATCTCTCCTAATCAGTCTCCTAATCAGTCTTAAAAGACAGTCTTGAAGGTGAGAGATTTTCCTGCAGGCCTTGAAGCTTCCACAAATTCAAAGGCTGTGAGGAAATGAGTTCTGCCAACATGAGTCCAGAAGAGGACGCTGTGCCTCTTTGGGCCTCAGACCAGACTGGCCCTGGCTGACACTGTGACTGTGACTATGACAGCACGATCAGAGGAGCCAGCTGAGCCATGCCTGGACCTCTGGCTCATGGGCACACGGGTATTGTCTGGGCTGCCTGGGTGGCTCGGTCAGTTAAGCGGCGGATTCCTGATCTCAGGGTTATGGGGTGGAGCCTCATGACAGGCTCTGTGCTCAGCACAGACTCTGCTTGTCCCTCTCCCTCTGCTCCCCCAGCTGCTCCTGCACTCGCTCACTCGCATTCTCTCTCTCTTTTAAATAAAATCTTAAAGAAGGGGGGGGGTGTTGTCTCAAGTCACTAAATTTGTGATAATTTGTTACACAGCACAGAAAACTAAAATACTTTTTATAATTTTTATTCTTAAGTAGCAAGATAACTCAATCATTAATTAGTGTTGGGAAATTTAGATACTCAACGTTGTTATACAGTCCCCATAAGCACAGAATTTGAACTTCTGTTTAGTTTGGCTGAAGCAGGTAAAAAGCAGAATTCTCACAACTATACAATCTCATGTTGGGTCATTCATGTGGCTGGAGTAGGTCAGTCCATGCTCATATCTTCTCAGTTACAAAGACACAAAGCTACTGTCAAATCCACATTTGCCAAATGAATGATTAAAATAAATCTTTAAAAGACCCTTTATGGTATAGTACAATCAGAAATGTGGTAAGTTCCAAATGACTGTAAGAATCATACTGCCTTCCTCTCTACCCTACTCTCAAGTAGAGAATCATTTCCTGATTTTTTTTTCAATCCTCAAAGTAGTATCTGGCACTAGTAAGCGCTTATAGTCTGCTGAATAAAAGAATTCCATTTCAAACGGAGGTGATGTAAGGCCCAATAACCTGCCTTAGGTCATAATATGTTAACGGCAGAAAGGAGATCAAGACAAGAGGTTTCTGTCTGTTAACTGAATACTTTTTTCTATGTTAGAATCAGTCCTTAATTACTGCCAAGCCTCATTAAATACACATACCACACAAATCATTAAAAGACTATTAAATATTCAACAGGATTTTCATAATATTAATTTTACCTGCTTTGCTGCTCTGTGAGTTTGTTTCACAGTTCCAACCATTTACTGTACTGAATGATAAACAATTTTCTGCTCCATGTGAACTAGAAAATGAAATAATTCTACTGATTGCAACCAATAATTGTACCTTTTGATTTTCTGAGGCATTTATTAGCCTGATATAGGCAACAACACTCTTTTCTCAGAATAATCAAGAGGAAAGAATCACAGCAGTCAATGCTACCCTTTAAGATGGAGAGAAGCCATTCCTATATTCCTGTTTTAAAACAGCAATCAATCCTAGCCAAAAAAAATTATACTTCAAAAGATATGTACCCACAGTATTCTGAATATTGTCTCTTTTGTGACATCTGTTTATTCTTTATTCTACTTTAGAGCACTTCTTTGGGGATGGTCCACCATTAAAAATATTTTAGATTATGGGATAAATGTATATAAGCAGGTACCAAAAGTTTTATGGTTCCATCTAAATATATACAATTTTAAAAGCTGTGTGATAATACTTACAAAATGTTTAATGTTAACTATATAAACTCTTTACCCTTAAGGGGAAAATAAATCTTTGCAATAATACAGAAAATGCTCATCTTGGGTACAGGTTCTTACTTCGGAATATAACCAATTTCAAGGAAACATAAGAAATGTTAATGGTCTACCCTTCTTGCAACCCCTTTATAAACTCTCCGGGCAGAGAAAACAAGAAGAGGAGCTGGCTGACTCTTAATTTAGAATAGGAGGATATCACAGAGGGGTAAAAAGTGGGACACTAGCATCCTTGACAATTTCTCCTTTATCTACAAAGCAAGAAACTTTAGCTTCTTAGTGAGTAGCTGCCAGGCAGGAAATGGGTTGTGGCAGGGTTTACATTTGATGGTTGGTTCTGACCCAATACCTCTTACGAACAGGAGTCTGGAAAGGGCATATCCCATCTCCTGCTTATCCTCTCTGCATGGATTCAGTAATCCACCTCGTATGTGGTACCTGGTACTTGATAAAAACAACATGATAAACTTCCATCAATTTATGAATATGAAAAAGTGGGGGAAGGGTTAAGGATTTACTACCATGTCCTATTATTTAATATTGTTAAATGTATTTATCACCAGATTTTTCAGGGTAGTTCAAACAGAATAACCCACAAAGAAAATTGAGACAATTCTCACACAAGTCATCATCACCAAAGGAGAGTCAAGAGGACTTACTGTTAAGGAAGCAATCCCTTTGTGGTAGAATTTTAAAGACTCAGCAATGCAAGAAAGTGCTGAACTATAGTTCTCCTCCTGCAACCCGGTGAGGCACTGTTCTGCATGTGAGAACTCCTTCAGACTATTTAGCCAGAAGTAGAAATGTTCTGAAGCAACCTGAGTCAGCAAACTCTGATAAAGCTCTCTGGCCATGTCATGGTTACCCTGAAAAGGGGGGGGGGCACATGATGAGGTTCTCACACTTGAATTGGCTGAAAGGCAGCTGAAAGACAAACTCAAAACCCTTGGATAAGTTTTTAACAACCATTCCTCACATTATATAATTCTTTAAGACTCGGTCTAAGTATTTCTTCAGAGAAAATACGCTGAGCTGCTTTTATATAACAGAACACCTTTAGTTCTTTTCTAAAACAGTTCCAAAGAGAAAATAAATGGAATTAACTATACTAGAATTTTAGTTCAAACTAGAGAAAGTGTAAACACTGAGTGTATGTCATTCTGTATGAGCTATTTAGTGAGGCGGGGACAGGCTGGGGACTCAAGCAAGTTCCCTGAAGTGATTATCAGAAGCACTCCACCTGCCTCTGGAAATGACTGGGGGAGGGGAGCTGTTGGGGGGAATGTGAGTGCCACTGAATGCCTGGGGGCCAGGGATGCTCAATATCCTGCAGCACCTGGATGCTTGGGGGTGTTGGGTATAACAAAGAATTGTCCTGCCAATAGAGCTCCTCCCCTATTTGAGAAACGTGGTAAAATGAGAACATGCATTATAATACCTAGAATAATGCTTCTCAAACTTTGCTCTCTGGACTTGTATCCAAAGGATTTCTATACTACCCAAGTTCTGTGTTTCCTCTCAAACAAAATAAAAATTGGTAGGCTTTCCATATGACTGAGAAGGGAACAGCATACCAAAACTTGCCCCCCTCTCCATGTAAGAATGACAAGGTTGGGGGTAGAGAGGGAAGAAAGATGTGGGGTACTGATAATGGAGGACAGCAGTGGTGGGTGGGAGGCGACTGTGGATATGAGAGTATAGGGAAAAATGAAGTGCCACTAATAACCTTCAGCCAGAAAGGGCTCATATTTTCTGAATTCCTGTGGAACTTACCCCGTAACAACATACATACCATTCTGAAATGAGAAAAGTTGAAAACTTTCAATCCCATTACTAAAACGTACTTCCATATTTATTTTCAGTTTTGACTAGGAGTCAGAATCACACAATCTAAGCTTTGCTATTTTTGCCAACCTGAGTCCTAGAGAAGGATAATACATACCATTCTGGATGCCTGTCTGGCAATTCGGTACACAGTCCATCCATTGGAGACACTTTCAAGCTGCTGTTTAATTACTGCCTTTACTTCAGCAGATAGTGCTTTCTGACTGGCCACAAAAATCACAGTGGCCAAACTCACCTAACATTGAGCGAGAAATAAGATAAATAAGGAAAACATGTAATTTTATCCAATGTCACAGATGACTTTACCCAAAAGGGACAAAAACTAGAGCCCATCAAATTTGTTTTCCTTTGACATTTATTAATTTTCCACTTTGAAGTCATTAAGCAATTTATTCCATTGCTCAGAGCATTGTTTACAATAGCAAATAATTAGAAACAATGCCCATAAATATGGGTAGGTAAATTATGATATAATCACACAATAAAATATTATATAGTAGAGAAATGGGTAAACTAGAGATACACTTATCTGTACAGATGATTCACACAAAATAGGCAAAGATGGACAACATGCAAATGATTTCATGTAGCAAGATAACATTTATATAAAGTTAAAGATATGCAAAATAATACTGCTTATTACTTAGGATATATTCTAAGGTAGTAAATGTATGACATGCATGGGAATGATGAATATGAAATTCAGGACAGTGGTAACCTCTGGGAGAAGGAAGAAGATATTGTAAGGGAGGTACAATTCAACTAGACTGGGAATAATTTTCCCTAAGCTAGGTGATGGATGCAAATGTTTTCATATTATTCCTTATGTTTTTTGAATACTATGTTTCATAATTTAAAACTGCCTCATAACAGTACTAACAAAAATGGGATAAAGAACATTAGTTGGAAATGCCATTTCAATAAAAAATAAACTTCAATAAAATGCCATTTCAATAAAAATAAAAAAAATTTGCTTATTAGTATTCTGAGGCTGATACATACAAAGGTCCGTATATATTGTGAAAACTGTATGATGTTATTCCCATGACCACTGCCACTTGGTCACCAGGGTAATCTTTCCTGATAGGAATGAGACGGGGGCAATCTTTTACACAACGCCCCCTGGAGGATAAAATATAAAACGGGCTTGAGTAAGAAATCTCATTTCCTTTTTCCGCAACCCCTAAATTCGGATGACCACAATAAGGATTACATCTCATTTATGCTTATTTAGAATGAAGCCTACTCTCAGCCCTGGAGAACTTTCAACTAAACACTACTATATAGCTTCTGTGCCTTCTGTTTCTAATCACACACCTTTCTCAACCCCAGGACTATACTGAAATCTAAACTGGATTCTAAACAGGTAAAGAGGTCCTGAATTGGAAAAAAGCAACTTGGGCTAATTTATGGTCACTGTTAATCATTAGGTCTTTAACTTACATTTTTGAAAGTATATAACAGGGTTTAGTTCATTATTTGCTTTGTATAAGAAGGAAAAAATTTTATTTTCACTTTGTAATAAAATAAAAATATCAGACTGAAGGCTAAACTGATTTGACAGGGCTAAGGAAGAAGGCAGTTTTAGACCCGAACTAAACAGAGCTTTGTAAATCAAAAGTGGAAATAGTCAAAAGCTCATCGTTCCAATTCTATTCTGACTTCAGCATACTCTTGATCTTACATAATTACTTTAATCTTTTTTTTAAAAAAAGATTTGTTTATTTGAGAGAGAGAGTGAGCAGGGGGAGGGGCAGAGGGAGAAGCAGAGAATCTCAAGCAGACTGGGCAATGAGCATGGCGCCTGACACAGGGCGTGATCTCATGACCCTGAGATCATCACCTGAGCCAAAATCAAGAGTCAGATGCTTAACCGACTGCGCCACCCAGGTGCCCCAATTACTTTAACCTTTTTAAGTAAAGTCAAACGGTAACATTGATTTCCTAAAGTAATTCCCACTAGACCCCCAGTAGGTTCAAAAGGCGGCTCTTTACCAGAAGTTCTTGTTGTTTGTCTGTGGCTGATCGTCCGATCACCTTGTAGAGCTCCATGAGGTCCCCAAGCATGCCATCGCCCAGCACCGGCAGCTGCATGGCAATGGCCGCCAGGCAATGGCACATCAAGATCCGCGCAGCATCCTGAGCACTGTGCAGCTGGGTCAACAAGGTCTCAACCACTGACTGGCTAAGGTGAGGCCTGCCCTTGGCCAACTTCACCATACAATTTAGAGCAATCTGCACATTGAATAGAAAATGGACCAGTTATACTTTGAAGGTATCAACTGAAGCTTTAAAGAAAGAACTCTGTACAGTTATTAGGAAAAATCAAGAAAAAGGTCTTTTTGTAGGCATAACATTTTCCTTCATAAGAAACACACAGCATACTAAATCTTATTAAGATCTACAAATGTGCCAAGTTTTAAAATGAAAATAAGTCAGGACTGTATATTAACCACTCATTTCAATCTAAGATTACTAAAAAAAAAAAAAGACTTGAAGAGAAAATCACAATGCTGAAGAGGCAAAATACATGCCAAATGGGATCTCACCATACTGCACTTTCACTGCTTTTCAAAAATTGCTTCTAAAGTATGGTTTGTAAACTTACCTATGCCAGCATCACCCAGGATGCTAATAAAAATATAGATTCCCAGACCCTACCTATTCCAAACTTAATGGATTAACTTTTTTTTTAGTATTTGGGTTACTGATAGTTTGAAGTTCAAAAAAGGTGTCCTAGGTGACTCTTAAGCACACAGAAGTGGGGAAGAAACTCCTAATTTTCTCTCTCACTTCTCACCTGAATTCCAAAAAACCAATTGGCTTTAGAACTTCTATTCAGGCCAGTTAATGGCATCAACTAATATCCCAGCCACCAGAACCAGAAACCAGAAGTCCTCTCACTTCTACATAGCCAACTGATTGCTACATCTCGTCATTTCCACTTTTGTCCAGTCTTCAATATCTACCTGCTTTCCATTCTCTCTACCACAACATAAATCTCTCCCTAATTCCAGTCTCTTAAAAAGATGGGCCCATTAACCCATCCTTCACACTACAGCCATGTAGCTTTCAGTATGAGTTAGGAAGACACAATGATGTCTTCAGAATCTGACGATCCAGATTTGAAGATCAGCTTGTCCTTGATTAGCTAGGTATCTTTCAACAAATTATTTTATCTTTCTGAATCTTAATTTCCTCATGAGTATTAAAGGGGGAAAATTTCACTCAATGGGTTTTTGTAAAGAAGGAAAGAAATGTATATACAAGTTGTCAACAAAGTTGGGCACATAATAGATACATTTAAATAACAATAATTACAAAGAAGGTCACAGCATGTCCATTACTTTAAAATTTTAATATCTCGGGGCGCCTGCATGGCTCAGTCGTTAAGCATCTGCCTTCAGCTCAGGTCATGATCCCAGGGTCCTGGGATTGAGCCCCTCATTGGGTTCCCTGCTCGGCAGGAAGCCTGCTTCTCCCTCTCCCACTCCCCCTGCTTGTGTTCCCTCTCTCGTTGTGTCTTTCTCTGTCAAATAAATAAAATCTTTAAAAAAAAATTTAATATCTCCTCACTACCTATAGAAACAAGAAAAAGTTCCTTGGCGTGATATTTGATTATATTCCGTGACAGAGCTGCAAACAATTTTTCCAATCTTATATATTATATCATCTAGCCATAGTGGGTTATTCACCATTCTTCCAACATAACAAGTACATTTCTGTTTTCATCCCTTTAGTAGCAGCGGTCCCTTGGGTGATCTTTCCTCAATGTTGAAATTCTACGCCATCTTTCAAGGCTTAACTCACATAACATCTCCTTGTGCAAGTCTTTGCTAACATCCTTAGTTGAAAGGCATCACTCCCAACTCTGTCCTCTCATTAGAATTGCACTTCTGTTTGTACTACACCAAGGAACTTAGTGCGTTCTGCTTGCTATTCTAGTCCCTTAGATAAATGTCAGTATCCTCTAGATGGGGAACTCCTCTAACACAGGGACCTTTGTGATCATCTATATATGTCCCACTGTGTTGAGTCCAGTGTTTTACTGACACCTACAATTGGTGGGAAAAGGATCTGGTTTGTTTCTTTCTTTCTCTTTTTTAAACTTTTAAATAAATTTATTGTGGTTCCAAAGGGATTCCGGGGATGAATCACTTGCCAAACACATATTGCCTACTTCCCTTTCCACCTCTTACCAGCTTTTATTTAATGGTATTAATATCTACTGTTCATCACTGACATCAAACCTTTCCTTAACATGCTAAACTAAGTTATGACTTCCTTCAAATCACACCTTAGACAAGCTATCGTTCTTATAATCTCCAATGTCTACCTAGTAGCTTTTTACTTCTATTAATTCCACTTTTCTTAATTTTGTACCATCACAAATTATATTTCATATTTCACTCCAGTAAGAGTAGTCTCATTTCACATTTTGAAAGTCTTAAATATCTCTAGTATCTTAAATATAGTAAAAATATAATAATAAATCTTAAATATCTCTTACCAGTGTCACCTCAGATTATAAACTTCCTAAAGTGCAGGAGCTCTGCCTATTACCCTTTGCTTTATATCGTCTAGGACCTTCATATGTATTTACTACAACTTAATAAACACTGTCAACTGATGGCAAAATAAGCCAAAGCTCAGATTTTTACTTTGTCTATCCTTTGGAATAACAATGGTCAACGTGATAGTTTTGAAAGTGAAGATCAAGGGCAAATGTTTGTTTGAACCAGAGTTGACAAACCACTGCCCTTTGGCCAACTCCAGCCGGGCTTTATAAATAAAGCTTTACTACCACACCACCACGCTGCCTATCTGTTCCCTTTCACACATGGCCGATGGCTGCTTCATCCCACCACTGCAGAACTGAGTAGTTGTAACAAAGAGTATATAGCCTACAAAACTTAAAATATTTACTATCTGGTCCTTTATAGAGAGATTACCAATCCCTAGTTTAGGCAATAAAAACAGGCATTATATTAAGATAAGTGATATTTTCACCTTTAAAGTGGCTTGAGCACCTGGACTATCATCTTGACTACAAAGTACCAGAAGGGATTCCAGGCCAAAGACAGCATCCTGTTCCAGTGCCAAAAGGTCTAGAGGAAAAACACTAAGTTTTACAGTGGTCAAGTAGAGAAGATTAAATACACACATACACACACACACACGCACTTAGAAGAAAAAACCGTTAAGGAGTCGAAGATATAAGAAACATTGTTATGTGTAAAGCTAACCTTCCTGAAAAAGTACACGTGCCATTACTTCTGAAATGTAAAGCCTATCTTCGGACTTCTATTTTTCCACTACTATACTGACAATTCTAAAAATATATACATTACATCAAACTAAAAGGCTTCTGCACAGCAAAGGAAACCATCAACAAAATGAAAATAGGAGAAAATATTTGCAAATCATGTTTCTGGTAAGGGGTTAATACCCAAAATTATATAAAGAACTCATATGACTTAATAGCAAAAAACAAACCATCCAATTAAAAACTGAGCAGAGGACCTGAAGAGAAATTTTTCTGAGTAAGATATCCAGATGGCTAACAGGTACATGAAAAGATGCTCACATCACCAATCATCTGGGAAATGCAAGTCAAAAACAACCATGAGATATCATCTCATACCTGTTAGAATGGCTATCATCAAAAAGACAAGAAGTAACAAGCTGGCAAGGATGTGGAGAAAAGGGAACCCTGTGCACTGTTGGTGGGGATGCAAACTGATGCAGCTGCTATGGAAGACAGTGTGGAGGTTCCTCAGAAACCTAAAAATAGAACTACCATATGATCCAGCAATTCCACTTCTGGGTATTTACCCAAAGAAAATGAAAATACTAACTCAAAAAGACATATGCACCCCCATGTTCATTACAGCATTATTTACAATAGCCAAGATATGGAAACAACCTGAGTCCACCAGTGGGTGGATGGATGAAGAATGGTACTGATACACAATGGATTATTATTCAGCCATAAAAAGAAGGAAAACCTGACATTTGAGACAACATGGATTGATCTTGAAGGCATTATGTTGATTTTGAAGTCAGATAGAAAAGGACAAATACCATATGATTTCACTTACATGTGAAATCTAAAACAAACAAGCAAAGAAAAACTGAGCTCACAGGTACAGAGAACAGATTGGTGATTGCCAGAGGCAGATGGTGGACAAAATGGGAGAAGGGGGTTGAAAGGTGCAAACTTCTAGTTATAAAATGAGTACAGTATGGCGCGTATAGTTAATAATACTGTATATTTCATATTTGAAAGTTAAGAGAGTAGATCTTAAAAATTTTCATCACAAGAAAAAAAATTTATAACTATGTATGGTGACTGATGTTAACTAGACTGTGGTGACCATTTCACAATATATACAAAGATCAAATCATTATGTTGTACACCTGAAACTAATATTTAAAAAAAAGGTATGTATACCCATGTTAAATCAAGAGCTAAAGCCACAAAGGTATGAATAAAGCATAACTGAAAACAATCTCACCAGCTTAGCTGAGGAAAATACTAGGAACAGCAAACCATGTATTACCTTCCTAACCAGACATAAATCTTCCTAACTAGATATAAATTTTTAATCTTCCTAACTAGGCACAAATTATGCTTGTCCATTTTCACCTACAATGTAACTTTCTAATGAAAATTGAAACCCTTTTAGGAAGTAATGAAAACCCCACATAACCTTATTAATATTTTAAGTCAGACCACAAAGAACAAACCCCTTAAGGTGTCTCATGTAATAGCAGTACTATAGCATCTTTCTACTACCTTAGGGCTCGAATTTCTCTAGAAGTTCTAGAAAATTCTGAATATATTAGTTAACCATATTAAGGTTAATATATATGAACTTTGAGAACACCCAGTTTTCTGTTACATGGTAGAAAATACTCATTACTATATCAAAAATAAAACAGGTTTAATTATTCAAATAAGAATCAGCACTTAAAGAACAATTTTAAAGAAATGTCACCTGAGTTAGTGTAGGGCTTGACAGTGTTAAGCCTAGGGTGCTAGAAAAAAATAGGTACTAGGAATGAGCAGTGCTGACATCTAGTGTGGATAAGATCCCCGCTTACGATCCTTAATGAAGATCAAAATAAACACCGAAACAGAAGAAACATCCAAAGTACATTTCTGTTTTTGAACACCAGCTTTAACTTATTCAAGCCTTTAGGTCAAAAATATCAGGAATATAATAAAATATAAGCATTATTTTCTATTCACATCCTAAAAAACAAAAAAACAAAATACATTGCTGTTTTTGAACGCCAGCTTGAACTTATTCAGGTCTTTAGGTCAAAAATATTAGAAATAAAATAAAATATAAACATTATTTTCTATTCACATCCTAAAAAACAAAAAAACAAAATACATTGCTGTTTTTGAACGCCAGCTTGAACTTATTCAGGTCTTTAGGTCAAAAATATTAGAAATAAAATAAAATATAAACATTATTTTCTATTCACATCCTAAATTATGCAAATGAGCTTAATGCTTTAAACACCTAGAGACAAATTCTAGGCAAATTTAATTCATATTACTCTCTTAATTCATTTGCCCCTAGGTGAAACTATTTGTTACTTAAGCCCCTTGATAACTTAAGGTATTTTTTCCTCAATTTTCCAGGTTTTTGCACATGTGAACAAATTGTCATACCACAGGGCAGTCAAAAGTGATCCTTATCCACAGCACCATGCATGCAAAGTGAAGCACTGGGAGGAAATGGGCAATGCTCTATGAAACCTTTCAATTTCATAATCCCAATCTCAAGGTCCTCATATATATATTTTTATTTTTCATAGGATTAAGTAGTTTTGAGAAAACCTGCTCTAAGTAGACTTTAGGAGGCAACCAGTAGATAAAAGCATATATGCTAAAAAGAAGAGATTAAAAAAACAAACACACACACACAGAATTCCACCCAAACTTCAACCTAAAAGTTGATACATAGTATCAATCTTGATCAAACTTACCTTTTTCTTGACAAGAGACCGTTATATTAGTTAGGACTCGTACTCCATGAGCTGCAATGCCCCTGTTATTATGGTAACAGCACTCTTGGGCTAATCTGACCAAGTCAGAGGATCTGGGAGAAGAACCCACATTTCCTAAACAAGAAAAGTAGCACAGACTTAATCCACTTATAAAGTTCAAAAGCAGTTCAACATATAGGTTCATTGTTCCATCTACTTGTACTCCATCATCAACATAAATCATCATTCCTGTCTCTCCTGTCAAGGAACTTAGAATAGGTATGTCCTAGTAGTTTATAATGATTGGGATCTAAAATAATACAGGACTTTCCCACAAAAATATTAACAAAAATGGACTAAGGAACACAGCAAAGCCAAAACAACTAAAGACTGTATCTTGGGAGTGCAAATGCATTCTCATTAAAATGGATGTCAATTTTAGGCCTCTTATCAGATAAACCTTACCTTCATGAGCGGAAAGAAAAAGAGAAACAAAAATTTTAAGTTTGCTTTTCCCACCTCAATGGCTGGCAGATAGTTATACTGCAAAAGGTTTACACAGAATTCATGGTTTTATTTATTTTTTTAAAAGATTTTATTTATTTATTTGAGAGAGAGAGCGAGAGCGAAAGAGAGAGCATGAACAGGTAAGGGGCAGAGGGAGAAGCAGGCTCTCCACTGAGCAGGGAGCCCGATGCGGGGCTTGATCCCAGGATTCCGGGATCATGACCTGAGCTGAAGGCTTAACTGCCTAAGCCACTCAGGCGCCCCCAGAATTCATGATTTTAGAACTGGAAAGGATTCTGAAATCACATGATTCAATGCCCTATTTTTACAAAAGAAACTGAAGCCCAGAGGCAGGGGTAGGGCATAACTAAGATTTTAAATGAGGGACTTGATCTCAGGATCCTGGGATCATGACCTGAGCAGAAGGCAGCCACTTAACCGACTGAGCCACCCAGATGTCCCTGCAGCAACTTTTAAAATTCACACTTGAAATTCTGTAATGTAAGGTTTATGTTGTGAATATATTTATTTATAGTAGAGAAACTCTCAGGTATAAGTGAATGAACTTTAAGAAGAATCAGGAGATTAAAGCTTTTCAGCTTTTTAGCAGAGTTTCTTGTTCCTGCCTTCCTTTTTCCATTCTTGCTTATTTTTGCATGATTTCCATCAACTTCAACCTTGCCTCTCACACCAAAGGTGATCATATTTTTTGATCATATTCCTAATTACAACAGGCATAAACCAAGACCATCCCAGGCAGTGGGGGACATGTGTTTTCCAGTTTAACATAAAAGTACTAGTTCAGGTAAACCCTCAGTGTTTTTAAAATAGGCAAAATAGGGGCGCCTGGGTGGCTGAGTCGTTAAGCGTCTGCCTTCTGCTCAGGTCATGATCCCAGGGTCCTGGGATCGAGCCCCGCATCGGGCTTCCTGCTCAGCCAGGAGCCTGCCTCTCCCTCTCCGCTACCCCTGCTTGTGTTCCCTCTCTAGCTGTCTCTCTCTCTGTGTCAAGTAAATAAATAAAAAATCTTTAAAAAAAAAATAGGCAAAATATTAGAAAAGTTTTTTCAAGACTATGGAACTTGTATTTCCTCCATTCTTTGTCTTGCCCGTATGATTTGGACAATACAGACTCATTAATAGATTTTCAAACATGTTTTGCAACTTGCATTTTTCCTTTTTTCTATGAAGACTCATCACAGAAAACTTGGAAAAAAATCAGAAAAATTAAAAATTTAAAAATTCACACATAATCACAGTAAGTAGGTAACAGCCAATATTCTGCCTTTAAAATATATTTTGCAGCATTTGTCTTTTTTTTTTTTAAAGATTTTATTTATTTATTTGACAGAGAGACACAGCGAGAGCGGGAACACAAGGAGGGGGAGTGGGAGAGGGAGAAGCAGGCTTTCTGCTGAGCAGGGAGCCCGATGTGGGACTCAATCCCAGGACCCTGGGATCATGACCTGAGCCGAAGGCAGACGCTTAACAACTGAGCCACCCAGGCGCCCAGCATTTTTCTATGTTTACAGTTTTAAGGACAAAACTATTTTTAATTTAATTTTTTATTTATTTAAAAATTATTTACTCAGATAAATTCACCTGGTTCAAAAGGTTCAACAAATAGTAGAAAAAGCTAGAAAGTCAGTGAATGAAGAGTCTTCCTCATGCACCCAATATTATCAGTTCCTTGTGTATCATTCCAGAGGCTATACATTTGCAAGCACATACATTCCTCGATTTTTTTCCTTTTTCCAGTTTTACATCCTTCTTTATTGCCCTTTAAACATATCATGTAGAATATTCCATGCCATATATTCTCTTTAATAAATTATATTGACTTCTATTGCAGTTGTATATCATAATTTCTTTAATGAGATCCCTATTGATGGATTTTTTTTATACTACATCCCTGCTGATGGACAATGTTTCGCTATTACATACTATGATGCTATGAATAACCTTATACATCTGTCATTTCTCAAATGTGTCAATATATTAGTAGGTTCAATTCCTAGAAGTGGAATTTCTGGGTCATTTGTAATTTTGATGAATATTTCCAAATCACCTATGCAGACATTTAATAATTCACAACCCCACCAGCAATGAATGAGTGGCTGTTCACTCATATCATTGTCAACACAACATGTTATCAAACTTCTGAATCTTTGCCAATCTGATGGATTGGTAAAGTATTTCAGTGTTGTTTTATTTGGCATTTTTCTTAGGTATGTGTGATACTGAACATCTTATATGCTTAATAGCCATTTGTTAGTGATCATTTAGACACTAAATTTAAGTTTGTTTTACAAACGATCCAGCTTATATTGAAAAAATCTAATCAATGAAAACATACTTAAACATTTACTATTGCCTACGGAAATAACCTAATTTTGGAAAATCCTTGACTTTTATTTCTTGTGAACATTACCTAGTCTGGTTATTTAAGCCTTTTCCTTAATTCCATATACAAACTGCAATTTAATAAAATTTAAAATTCAATAAAAGGGCGAAGCTTGAGAATTGCTTGAATATTATAACTTGACAGAGGCTTACAAATGACTTTGGAATTATAAAATAAAGAAAAAGAAAGTCATTCTGCTTCTAGGCCCGTTTAGTATAAAAATGAACACTGGATCAGAACTTTTGGGTTCAGGCCTAGACTAAGGCATATCATCAAGTATGTGATTTTGGACATATCGTTGAAACTTTGTAAGCCTCAATTTTAATACTTATAAACTCCTTTCTATGTGCCTTGCTTGAAAGACTACTTGTACAGAAGCAATGAGACCTTCTATGGGAAGACAGTTATAAATTATGATACAATTAATACTCTTGCAGCTCTTTTAAAGTAGGATGTCAGTCAAAGATATTAACTATAAGCTGAGAAACTGAGACTGGCTGATTTATGCAGGAAAAGAACTTCTCAAAAGTACAATGGGTATATGATAGATTATTGATAAAAAGGGCTGGGATAATATATCCTGTCCCTTGTTGGCATGCCCCTTTGTGATGCAATTTTCTAATTCCTTGCCTCAAGAGGTGTTTATTTCCCCACTTATCTGGGCTTGGCTGTGTCGCTTGCTCTGGCTATTCAGACATTAAAAAATACGCAAGCAAAAGACTAAGAAGTGCTCATGTGCTGGTGGCTTCCTTCTTTGGTTCCCGCTAGAACCCTGAGATCATAATGTAAACAAGGCTAAGCTAGCCTGCTGAGGCACATGGAGGAGAACCAAGCTGCTCCACTGAAAGCCTTTCAACCTCCAGCTGGGTGAATGAGGCCTCTTTAGACCATCCAGAATGGTCAAGGTTTGAGATGACTGCAATCTTAAGAGTAAAAGCCCACGTGAGATTGGGAGAAGCACCCAGCTGAGGTCAGTCAAAATTGCTGATATGCAGAATCAGAGCAAATACAATGGTGATGGTTTTAAGCCACTAAGTTTTTTTTTTTTTTAAGTATTTTATTTATTTATTTGTCAGAGAGAGAGAGCACAAGCAGGGGGAGTGGCAGGCGGAGGGAGAAGTAGGCTCCCTGCTGAGCAAGGTGCCCGATGCAGGACTTGATCCCAGGACCCTGGGACCACGACCTGAGCTGAAGGCAGATGCTTAACCAACTGAGCCACCTACAGGTCCCTTATGCCACTAAGTTTTGAGGTGACTTATTGCAAAGCAGTAGATAACTGACATAGAAATACCTCACAGAATTACTGGAAAGCCTAGAAAACTAAGTTCAGAAAATGCACAGGAAAAAGGCCAGGCTAGCAACCAAGCAAGATCACAGCCCAAACCGTGCACAGAATTAGTTCAGTGAAGGTATTAAGATCGATGTCACGGCTTACACTGCTGCCAGAGGTACCATGACAGAGCAAATGCCCACTGTTACGGGAGAACCCGCAAACAGTGCGGCCGCGGTCACTGCTGTAGCGCTAGACCAGATTCTCCCACTTCCCTACTTCTTATCGTGACTGGCTCCCAATTCAGCCCATGGTATGACATGAGCCCTGAGTCCAGGCCACATGTGTGCACCCTAGCTGGCAAGGAGGCCTGGCAAACAGAGTCCCAGGTATTTTTATCTTCCTATCAAGCCTTATATATATGGCAGGGAATTCCCTTTACCCAGTTAAGTTCAAAGGCTGTGAAGCCATAAAAAGGACAAAGGGTCATTGTAATTCTAAGCTACTTCAATTCAAATTAATGGACTAAAACAGGAAGCAATACAGATCCCACAAAACCTGCATTAAAACAAAACAAAACACTTTAGCCATGTCTGTTAGGTAAGCAAGCTCCTCGCCCGGCATTAATTAAGGCATTTTGAAGTTAAACCATCTGCAACTGGCAACTAGGAAAGCGTTATTGACCTGGGGTAAAGTTTTCTTTTAATCATTTTCCAGAGGGATAACATATACCTAAAAGAAGGCATATGACATTTGCTTTTAAAATTCACCACATCTGGCCTTTGAAATGTACTTAAATCCAAAGGGCACTTTAACTCAGAGACATAACAAAAGCAAACAAGCTATGTTAAGTATCCTCAAAAATATTCTTTCACGTACATATAATTCAAAACAAGGCAAATCTAGACAAAACAATACCCTTGAATTATGATCAAGGATGCAAAATATTATGACCACAGGCATTAGTAGAAGAAATCATTTTCAGATAAGTCACTGGCATATAACAGAGTACAAGACTGAAACTGTTCTGGATTCTAAGGCTTTACAGAAGAAACAACCTGAACCATCAACATGAGAAAAGGGACTAGCACATTCTCCATATGTCCTCTCCCTTCTCCTTACCTGAAGCTATGCTGAAGTAATGTTTGATGGCAATGGTCCCTGACAGTGTGGAAAGGACAGACAGCATCCCGAGTTTCAGGCTGTCATAAGGAGTCTGGAGGGCACATTCACAGAGTGCCTGGAATACAGAAGAAAAGGGAACACAGAAGGTGAAATACCTTAAAACTGTCCACTTGTTTTAAATGTTCTAGCTTTTAGAAAAATTCTATCTACGATAAAAAACTTCACTCAAACTGCCACAGCCAAGAGGAATATCAGGAGACACGTTGGCGAAATCTAATGCAGTTTCCTAGATGGGACTCTGGAACCGAAAAAGGACCCTAAGCAAAAACTAAAGCAACCAGAACAAAGAATGAACTTTGGTTAATAATAATGATGTACCAACACTGGTTTATTAATTTTAACAAATGTGCTGCACTAATGGCAAACAATGACAGGGGAAACTGGGTGTGGGGTGTGTGGCAACCCTCTGTACCATCTTTTCCATTTTTCTGTAAATCTACACCTGTTCTGAAGAATAAAGTCTATTTAAAAAAAAAAAAAGGTCATCATGACTGATTTTTTATTAAGCTCACTGGAAATTAAGTATTATTCAGTCCACATAAGCAGAACCTCCACTGTACTTTACTTCATGGAGAGATACGAGTATTAATTCATATATCTATATTTTTAAAAAATAACAGAGCATGACAGTCTATCTTGTATGTAAGTGAATGCACTGTCTATCCTCCTCCATTTTGGATCATCCACTCCACTCCAGACTACTGTGGTCTGAAGAATTACCAGAAACAAGATGCTTGTGTTTCTTTAAGTAACGTCAACTATGGGTAAGTGCTCGTACTACAGTGACTCTTGACTTATCCTGCACCTCTACTCTTAGGACATGTCATATAAGTGGTCAAATAACTGCCCTGCTAAATTAAACTAATTCCCATTCTCCCACAAAGACAAAGGTTCAGAAAATAGCAAAACTTAAAGACTAGGGAAAAAAATCAAAAATAAAATTTCAGAAAGAGTTAAACAATAGATTTATTATCTCTCAGATAAAAATGTCAACACAATCTTGGGAGTGGAAAGATTTACATAATCTGTTTCTAAAGATCATATGAAAAAATCAAAATCAAAATATATCCAGAAAAATTCTGATGAAGTATAATGAGGGACAAAACAAACCCCACCAAATATAAAATGTAAAATAAACCTATAGAAGTCAAATAAGTTTTTCCTACTCACGGACAGAGAAATCAATGAGGGCAAACTTGTTCCAGAAATGGATTCAAATACACAGAATTTAATATACACTCATGGCATTTCAAATGAGAGGGACTTTTCAATAAACAGCTCAAGGACAACTGGCCAGCCATCTGGGTAAAATAAAACTAGACCTTTGTTTCTTTTTAATGGCAAATAAAAACCAAAACTGTAAGAAATACTAAGGGCTAACAAAGGAAAAGAAAAAGTAAAAAGATATTTGACAAATCTGGGAAAAATGTTCATATCATGTAAGGTCAATAAAGGCCCAATCACCTTCGTATATAAAACGTTCTTACTAGCAGATAGGCAAACAACACAACAGAAAAATGAGTTCACAGATAAAATTTATACAAATGCCTTTTAAAAATAAGATGCTAAATCTCACTCCTAATTTGAAACATTTAAAATAAGAGATTTTTTTCACCAGACCGGACAGGAGTAAAGTTTAATAAGACATAGTTCTGAAAGTTGTGTGGGGCAACAGTCGCTGTCACACTGCCGACAGAAAGGTAAAATGGAAACCTCATTAGTGGGTAACTGGCATTAAATATAAAAACTTTAATTGTATGTATCATTGGACCCAAGAAGTCCTCTTTTAGAAATGTATCATCATTGTGAGCAATGATAATTTTTTTTTTAACAAACTAGTCAATGTAGCAGTGTAAACAGTAACAGTAAAAGTACTGGAAACAACTCTAATGTTCATCCGCGGAACTGGAAATATAAAGGCAGTACCACACAACTGGCGAAAGAATGAAGCAGATCTAAGTATTAATACCACATGTTCCCCAAAATGTACTGTGAAGAGATTAAAGGTTCAGAACGTGCATAAACTATTTTCATTTTCATACAGAAAATAGAAAGGACATACACATGCTTGTTTACGGATGACAAAATTCAGAAGGATACATAAAAAACTAGTTAACACTGACCACCTCTGCAGGGGAGAGCTGAGAGAAGAGATGACTTACAAGACAGACGTGTTTTCGCTCATTATGCACCTTAAACTCTGAATTTTTTATCATGTGCATGTGTACTTTTTCAACTGAAAGAAAACCCTAGCTAATAACAAAAACAGCAGCAGGAACAAATAATCATGGCAGGAATGGAAATGGACTTGAAAGACAAAGTAGGTTTCTGGTAATGAAAGGGAAGACAGTGATGGAGATGAAGCAAACAAGAAGTGTGGCAGTTAGGCCAGATTATGGAGTATTTATTTGTGGCCTAACAGGAGATAGGTCCAAAAGGAATGAAGGCCAAGACAGAGAAACACTGAACAGGGAATATTAGGCCAGATTAAAGTTGGCCTTGAAGTTAGAGTAATTTAAGTTTAATGGGAAAAGGAAAAAGGAAACCACTGGAGAGAATTATGTTATCGAAAGCATTAAGGAAGATTATTCTGGCAATGATAAACAGGTTAGGGCCTCAGAGCCAACCTACAGCCTAGGGCATTAATCCAGGCAGGTGGTGATGGACTATGGCCTTAACTACAGCTTGAGGGCTCAAATGGAGAGTAGAGAGTGAATATGAGAGGCGTTTTGAAACTGATGATGTAAAAGGGAATCAACAAGAAGGATTCAATAATTATTACAAAATTTCAAAACCTCATGACTAGAGAATGTTGATTCCATTTATGAAGACTGAGAATTTATGGAGATAAGCTAATCCCAGAGAAAGGACAGAAATAGGAAGAGATATGAAATCCAAGAAGAAATATCTACCAGGCATTTGGAATCTGACATGTAACAGATTTTTAGCTGGAAGACTTGCATGAGAATTCTGGCTCTACCACTTACCATCTCTGTGATCTGAGCCAATTACTGAAATCTCTGAGTCTCAACTTCTTTGTCTGTAAACTGGGGGTAAAGATTTATACAAAATTGTTTTCTTTTTTTTTTTAAGATTTATTTATTTGAGAGAGAGAGAATGTGTGTGAGTAGGGGGAGGGGCAGAGGGAAGAGAACCTTAAGCAGACTCCCCGGTGAGTGCAAAACCTGACCCGGTTCAAGCACATGACCCAGAAGATCATGACCTGAGCCGAAATCACAAGCTGTATGCTTAACTGACTAAGCCACCCAGGCGCCCTGCAGAATTGTTGCTTTAATATAAAACACCTCTGGAAAAACATATAAGAAATTAGACACTGGTTGCCACTGGACAAAGGAGTGAGTGGATGGCAGGAGAGTAAGTGGGAAATACTTTATGATATGTATCCTTTTGCAGCTTTTGAATTCTGCACATGAACATACTGGCATAAAAAATTTTAAAATAAAATATAAGTGGGGGTGATGACATTTATTGTCTGTAATAATAAAAAGCTCCTGAGAGTCAAAAAGCTTTGCAAGCCCTACAAGCTACTACGCTGAAGAGCAGTTCAGGGGAGGAGCAAGATGGCGGAGGAGTAGGAGACCTGGATTTCCTCTGGTCTCAGGAATTCAGCTGGATAGGGATCAAACCATTCTGAACACCTACAAACTCAAAAGGAGATCGAAGAAAAGAATAGCAACAACTCTCTGAACAGAAAACCGACCACTTACTGGAATATAGGACGTGCGGAGAAGTGAATCCGAGGCAATATTCGGGAAGATAGACAGCGGGGGAGGGGGCCACCGTAGGCTGCTACCAGCAAGTGATAGATCAGCGGAGCACAAAATCGGAACTTTCAGAAGTCGGCTCCGCTGAGGGACGTCACTCCAGTGGCTAAGGGGGGGGGGGAGGGAATGAACCCTCGTGGGACAGTGTGGTCTCAGGACCCTCAGGGTCACAGAAAGACCGGGGGTGCCTGAGTGCAGCAGAGCTCCCAGGTATGGAGCGGGGAAGCCGGCTGCAGAGACGAGCCGAGGCACGGGCTCTCAGCTTGGGGTTGCCATAAACCATGATCCGTGGCACAGTCGGGCCACTGCTCCTCCAGCAGGGACCCAACAAGCGGCAGATCCAGGGAGACTCCCCTTCCTCCCCCGGGAGGAGCGGCGCAGGAGCGCACCGCAGGGATCTGGAGGGTTTGGAGACTCCACACGGGGTCGGGTGCCAGACAGAAACAAAGGCTCAGTCACAGGCTGGGTGAGCACGGAGTGCGGCTGGAGACCGGGGAGACGGGAGTGACTGACTGCTTTTCTCTGGGGGTGCACTGAGGAGCGGGGCCCCGAGTTCTCGGCTCCTCCAGGGCAGAGACAGGGAGGCTGCCATTTTCACTCTTGTCCTCCAAAGCTGTACGGAAAGGTGCAGGGAACAAAAGCTCCCGAGAGCGAACCCAAGCCGATTACTTAGCTGGGACCCAGAAAGGGCGGGGCAATTCTGACTCGGGCAAAGACATTTGGGAACCATGGCAAAAGGCCCCTCCCCCAGAAGATCAGCAAGAACAGCCAGCCAAGACCAAGTTTACCGATCAAGGAGAACGGGAGAACTCCAGCGCTAGGGGAATACTGCACATAGAATTCATGGCTTTTTTACCATGATTCTTTAGTCTTTCAAAGTTAATTTTTTTAACTGTCTTTTTTTTTTCTTTTTCCCTTTTTCAGCCAACATCTTATCAATCCCTCCTTTTTAAAAATCTTTTTTAATTTTCATGTTTACACTCATATTTTATCCCTTCATTGTATTTAGCCTTATTTTTTGTATATGTATATATATAA